CATGATGGCATGTATCACATTGATAGATGTGCAGGTGAACGAGCCCCTGATAGCGTGGCTGATGTGATTAAGTCCTATGATGGTGTCACTTGAATAGATATGTGGGCAGAGTTGGCATCGGGCTTTGTTGTAAGGATAGGTTCCTGGGTTAGTGTTTTTGTTCTGTGGTTGCTAGTGAGTATTTGCTTCAGGTTGGAGGGCTGTCTGTAAGCGAGGACTGGTCTGTCTCCCAAGATCTGAGAGAGTGAGGGATCATCTTTCAGGATAGGTTATAGATCTTTGATGATGTGCTGAAGAGGTTTTAGTTGGGGGCTGAAGGTGACGGCTAGTGGTGTTCTGTAATTTTCTTTGTTGGGCCTGTCCTGTAGTAGGTGACTTCTGAGTACTCTTCTGGCTCTGTCAATCTGTTTTTTCACTTCAGCAGGTGAGTATTGCAGTTTTAAGAATGCTTGATAGAGATCTTGTAGGTGTTTGTCTCTGTCTGAGGGATTGGAGCAAATACGGTTGTATCTTAGAGCTTGGCTGTAGACAATGGATCATGTGGTGTGTCCTGGATGGAAGCTGGAGGCATGTAGGTAAGTATAGCGGTCAGCAGGTATCCGGTATAGGGTGGTGTTTATGTAACCATCACTTATTAGCACAGTAGTGTCCAGGAAATGAACTATTTGTGTGGATTGGTCCAGACGGAGGTTGATAGTGGGATGGAAATTGTTGAAATCATGGTGGAATTCCTCAAGGGCTTCTTTTCCATGGGTCCAGATGATGAAGAGGTCATCAATGTAGCACAAGTAGAGTAGGGGCGCATTAGGGGACGAGAGTTAAGGAAGCTTTGTTTTAAGTCAGCCATAAAGATGTTGGCATACTGTGGGGCCATGAGGGTACCTATAGCAGTGCCGCTGACTTGAAGGTATACATTGTCCCCAAATATGAAATAGTTGTGGGTGAGGACAAAGTCACAAAGTTCAGCCACCAGGTTTGCCGTGACATTATTGGGGATACTGTTCCTGATAGCTTGTAGTCCATCTTTGTGTGGAATGTTGGTGTAGAGGGCTTCTACATCCATAGTGGCCAGGATGGTGTTTTATGGAAGATCACTGATGGATTGTAGTTTCCTCAGGAAGTCAGTGGTGTCTCGAAGATAGCTGGGAGTGCTTGTAGCATTGGTAGTGTAGGACCCGAGGAGAGAGTCTACATAGCCATATAATCCTGCTGTTAGGGTGTCAATGCCTCAGATGATGGGGCGTCCAGGATTTCCAGGTTTATGGATCTTGGGTAGCAAATAGAATACTCCTGGTCAGGGTTCTAGGCATGTGTCTGTACAGATCTTTCCTGTGCTTTTTCAGGGAGTTTCTTGAGCAGATGGTGTAGTTTCTTTTGGTAATCCTCAGTGGGATCAGAGGATAATGCCTGTAGAATGTGGAGTTAGCGAGCTGCCTAGCAGCCTCTTGTTCATATTCCAACTTCTTGTCAACTGTCTGGAATATGCCATCTTGATTATCACTACAAACGTTTTTTTCTCTCCTGCTGCTAATAGCTCATCTTAATTAATTAGCCTCTTGGAGTTGGTATGGCAACTTCCAACTTTTCATGTTCTCTGTGTGTGTATATATATATAAAATCATCTTACTATATGTTCCATTCTATGCATCTGATGAAGTGGGCAGTAGCCCACGAAAGCTTATGCTCAAATAAATTTGTTAGTCTCTAAGGTGCCACAAGCACAAAGACACTAGTTGGAGAAGCTGAACAGAACTATATTGCAATACGACTGCAAGGTGACTGTAACTTCTCCTTGTTTCTCTGGGCAGGGACTCGCTTTCTGTACAGAACTTTTGGAACTCTGATTTACTCTGAATTTCCTTTGGAATGGATTTCTCTGACTCTCCAGTTAAATGGGGCAGTCTCTCCTAGTCATTTTGAAAGAACCAGTTGCCCCCTCACCCTTGCACTGTCTCCCCACCTTTACTCTTCTTTTTTCTTCCCTGGCTTGCTTTTTCTGTCCCATCCTACTTTCTTACTTCCCAGTGTGGGACTGTTGATCTGCCAAATGGAAACCATGACAAACAGCTCTCCACAATGGTCCAATTTGGAACTATGCCTTCCATTTTAGTTTTCCCATTGAACAAAACACTCAGTTTAATTATATTTTAAATACTCTCCGAGGATAGAGAGAGAGAGAGACAGACAGACAGACAGACACAGACACACACATAGATACCAATACTGAAAATTGGGCCAGACTGAGCATGCTTGTGTAGGGCAGTATGGGAACATTAAGCCATCCTCCTTACTCCCCTATCCAGGTTTCCTATATCCTGAGTCACAGCACAAGGTGGAGAGTGGCCTTCCTGGGGCTGCTACTTTCCCTTCCACATAGGGTTGCCAACTTTCTAATCGCACAATACCTAACACCCTAGCCCTGCCCCTTCCCAGAGGCCCGGCTCCCTTCCCTGAAGCTCCACTCCGTACTCAATACAATCCTCCTCCCTCAGTGGCTTGCTCTCCCCCATCCTCACTCACTTTCACTGGGCTGAGGCAAGGGGTTGGGATGTGGGAGACGGTGAGGGCTCTAACTGGGTGTGTGGGTTCCAGGGTGGAGCCAGAAATAAGGGGTTCAGGGTGTGGGAGGGGGCTCCAGGCTGGGGAAGGAAGTTGGGCTGTGGGAGGGGATGAGGGCTCTGGCTGGGGGTGCTGGAGATGAGGGGTTTGGGGTACAGGCACCATCCACCAGCTCCCATTGGCTGCGGTTCCCGGCCAATAGGAGTTCGGAGCCAGTGCTCAGGGTGGGAGCAGCACACAGAGCTGGACCTGCTGGCCACTTTCGGGGTGCAGCATGGAGCTAGGACAGGTAGGGACTAGCCTGCCTTAGACTTGCAGCACTGCCAACCGGACTTTTAACAGCCCGGTCAGTGGTGCTGCTGAACAGAGCTGCCAGGATCCCTTTTCAACCGGGTGTTCAAGACCAGTGAACGCTGAAAATGGTACTTGTTTTCTTAAATGAAATACCTTGGGTCGAATTCATCTTTAATTTCACTGAAGATAGACAAGTAATTAATTTGGCTCTCTTTTCTAAAGGCAACACTTTTCTCTTTTGTATTAGAATGGAATCATCTCTGGGGACTGTCTTCCTGATATTCAGCTCTGCTTTACCCAGAATTTGTAGCAAAGCCACAACTGAGTCCTTAGTCTTTACATTTTTCAGGAAGGGACTTCTCTCTTACTACGTATGGTTTGAACAGTGCCTAGCACAATAACACTCAAGTTAGTTGGGGACTCTAGGTGCCACACAATACAGACAAATAAGAAGCACTAGTAAATACACCGGACCCTCACTAGAACACGTGTCTATATAACACAAATTTGAATATAACGCGGTCATAGTCATGGATCTCAAATTTAAGTACAGTACAATTTTTTTGAGTTTTAAGTGACCTTGGTATTCATTACCTTATCATACATGCAAGATTGTTGGAGGAAAGACACATAGACTGTATCACAGTCTGATGAGGAATTCGACTTCGAGAGATTTACAGAGGAGGAAGTTAGAAGAACAGACATGGAGTGGATGCAGGAGCTGTCTCAGCAACTGTCTGGGCTCGGGGTAACTGTTCTGCCACAAAATAGCGAGTCCTGGATAAGAGGCGACGATGAAGCAGAAGAATTTTATCCCCTTGCTGAAAGTCTAACGGATGACCAAATTCTTCAGGCAGTACAACCAAACAACATTCCAGAACCTGAAGAATTGGCCTTCGCTGTGGAAGAAGAAGTGGATGTTGTTCCAATGTCAACTGCGACCGTAGCCGGCTTAGAGACTGCTTTGAGATGGTTTGAGACGCAAGACATTGAACCTATAAAAATTATGCAGCTATGTAGTCCTTTGCAGTTTGCTAAGCGGAAGCAGCACAGCAGCAAGAAGCAAAAGCAACTCACCGATTTTTAAAAGAAAAACTAGACTAGTTTATTGTAATGTCCACTTTAAATCTCTAATAAAGCAACACTTTTTTTCTCGTTTATTGTTTCCTTCAAGTAGGAGTTTATTTTCTAAGGTTTTCTATACTTTATGGATGTGAAGGTAATTAGTGCTACAAAAATTTCTATATACATATTTATATATTCAGTGTATATAAATTTCTCTATGGCATTCCATACACGAAGACGGAAGTTTCTCTATGGCATTCCATACACGAAGACGGAAGTTTCTCTATGGCATTCCATACGTGAAGACGGAAGTTCATGGCGCCTGAAAGAGGACAATCAAAACAAAGCACACAAAGCATTTAACCAAATTCATTAAAATTGCTTCCATTTCAAAATGCTATTTCCACTGACATCCGTGGTGAGTATTGTATCTTGTAGACTCATTTTTCGCTACAGTTCTGAGTTTTGATGCATCGTTAGCCCGCTATAACCTGCAAATACACAACTACATATACTTGTACTGAAATTTCGATCACAAAAATATAATTTCATTTTAACGTGGTCCCCGCATTCTAGCGAGGGTCCGGTGTACCAGCAGTCAAAGGTTTCTGGTTGATTCAGTAGCCCCACAGAGAGAGCTTTTCAGTAGTCATGACAAAGGTCTGGTTAACTATGGTGAGGGTCACATCCAAAATAAAGGTTGCAACCACCTAGTCAAATGCAGATGGCAAAATGTACTTTGGAAGCTGTTACGATTGGGACCCAGATGCAGCCAAGAACTAGGGTGACTATATTTCCCTATGCTGAATTCAGGACGTCTTAAAATTACTGGTATTCAAGCGAGTTCAATGGCAATCAGAACTATGCAGTACAAACATTCAAATTAACATCGAGTTGACTGAGCCCCCCTTAAAAAGAAATACTGTGTCGTTGGATTTTTATTATTTACCTTCTTATCTTTAAGGCTTTAGGGTTCACACAGGGAGGGGTGACACACTCCCCATTCCCCCCACACACACAAGGGGAGGGGTGACACACACACTCCCGTACACCTCTCTCACACAGGAGGGTGACTGACTGACCTGACCCTCCCTGACCTCCATATCCTGGCTGAGCCCCCAAGACGGACCTGCCTCTCCCGGTAACTGGCGCCACATCTTCCTGAGGCAACATGTGGGGGAGCATACAGAGTAACATGCCCCCCATCCCCAGATTTCTGCCAGGGCTCACACCAGAATGTGGCCAGCAGCAGACTTACAGCACTGTGTGGGAGGCTGCTTCCAACCGCAGGGGAGGGGATGGGGAGGGATGACCTGGCCCATGTCCACTTGTCCCTTCCTGCCTGCACAGTGTCAAAAGGCAGTTAACACCTCCAGGCTGCTGCTGGCCACCGACATAACACCTTCCTGCCTGCACTGTAGCCAGGGGGACAGGAGGCGGCTGGGTTAAGGCCTAAGGATGTATTGTGTACCAGGCCTCAGGGAACCTGACTACAGGGCTTTCAGCAAACCCAGCCAGAGACAAGGCTCAGCAGGGGAGGGTGCCATGGGGACGGAGCAGCCTCACACTCCTGGGGGCAGGACCCAGGGCTGGGGGTGTGTGTGAAGAGGGTGCTAAGCCCCTGACCGGCAGGCTGCTGTGGAGTCTGCAGGTTCAGCATGTGAACAGGTTGGAAATCACTTTCTCCCCTCCCCCACCACTCCAGAGCTTAGCTGAGGGGCAGAGAGGCTTCCCCGTGCCAGTGCTGTGTGGGGCTTTGGCGCATGCAGGGCTTGGCTCCTCCTGGTCAGCATCCCAGGACAGAGGGTTTTGGGCTTTCCCAGGATGCCTTCCCATCCAGAGGCAGTGGGAGAAGGAAGGAGCCTCTCAGCCAGGTTGTTGGTGAGCTCAGCACTCTGACTGGGACTGATTCTCCACTCAGTGCTGGGAGTGGGATACGCCCTGCTGGGGGGGACATGGAAGAGCAGCAGAGCTGAGGAGGCAAAGGGGCAAAGCAGAGAGAGGACAGTGAGGGGGGAGCACGTAAAGGGCTGATGGGTGGGCAGCAGAAGTGACACGTAACTGGCCGCTGTGCAGTGTCTGCCCCGCACTCATCAGCCATCACCAGCGAGAGCCAGCACGGGAGCGGCTGGCCCTGCGCGCTACATCTTCACGCCGCTACCAGCCTTACACAACCATCCTCACCGTCAACCACTGAATGCCCCCACACTCACCGCTGGTGAGCAGGTGGCTGGTGAGCAGGGATCCAGCCAGCAGCAGAACAGCCAGTAGTGATGGGGGAGGGAAGGGGAAATACAGGACAATTTGCTCATTTTTAAGGAAAAGTCGGGACACCTGCCGGAGAGCTCAAATACAGGACTGTCCCTTTAAAAATAGGACATCTGGTCATCCTACCAAGAACTCAACAAGACTCCTAGGTTGAGAGTACTTGGGTGTTGGGGCAGCTGGTGTAAGGTAGAGCAGCTCAGAACTGTGCTTTATGCTGGAGAGAAGGATGCCAGGTGGCTTAAAACAAACCTTCCCCCATCTCTCAACCTCCCTGGTTTTGAAGTGGTTTCCATCATATACAGGATTTACAGTTTGGTTCAATGGCTCTCAGCACCCCCACTATACAAATTGTTCCAGCACCCCTGAAACAAAAAGGTATCAGGGGGCTAGTTCTGCTCTCACCAATGCTGGTTTTACATGAATCCTTTAAACTCCTCTAACTGATTTATACCAGTGTGAGCAAGATCAGAATCAGGCCCACTGTGTCCTGTTACACAACAGCCAGTATAGGGACAAGTGCTTCTATCTCTGGAGCTCTGACAAAGACTCAAATAGCATTCAAATCTCCATCACACCACTCAGGATTGCCCTTAAACTGTGAAGGGCAGTAGGAAAGTTGTACCTTACATAATCAAACACCAGGTTTTGGAAATAAGAATCCAAACATATTGTACAGTAGATCACTTCAATTTTTTCCAAAGCTCCATATGTTTGGCTTTAGGCGCTATGAACATTTTCTTATGTTTCAGCTTCCTCTGACAAACAGTAACTCATTTATTTAGTTGAAGCTCCAAGGGACAGAGATGCCAAAGCCAATAAAACTCATACTTGCTGTTTGTTTCTATGATATCTATACATTTCACTCACATCCATAGCATGCACAGTGCCATATATTAGCAATTCTGCCTTAAAAAGCACTATCGTACCTGGCCTGCCTTTACACAAGTGGAATAGCAAATCAACGAAAATTTAAAAAACCCTGAAAATACAGACTCAACGCATAGTTGCGTAGCAGAAAGCAGAGAGCTGACAATATTGGCTAATATAACCTGCACACCCCTTAACATTTTATTTCAATTATTTTTATAGATTTGCTGTGGTTACAAAGTCAGTAATTGAAGTGGTGGGAGTCAATATCTAGTATGCTAAATAAAGATCAGTGGGCCAAATACATCTCTGGTGTAACTCCATAGAAATCAGTCAGCTTTATCTTTGAAAAATACTTTACATCTCCTTTAATATGTTGTGTTATAAGTGAGACATTAAGTGCAAAAAATGTGATTTTTTTCAAACGTGTTTTTATCTTTGTTGGGGTCATGAGACTTTGTGAAAATAACTATTGAGTTGGTGTCATTCAGTGCTTCTAAAAAATTCAGATCAGAATAATCCACCAAGAAAATGTACCATGAAAAAAATCTACAAAGTCAGCATTGGGACTGAAGAGAGTATGAAGGCATAAAGGTCTAGTGATCTGCATTCAGACTTTTAATCACCATGGGCCAAACCTAGCTGTCCAAAGCCATTGAAATAAAGATGAGTTTTGCCTGAATATTAACTGCAGAATTTTATTCCTATCTTGAGAATGATTGATGTCCTGTTGCACTTTTTAAAAAAGTGAAATGTATGAGTTATTTTCTCACCATGTACTTGCTTTCCGTACTTCTGCAAAAATGATAGACTAATTCAAATTAGTTATATGAATATTTAACATTTATTATTCTAATGTTTAGTAGCAGAGCTGAATGTCAGGAAGACAGTCCCCAGAGATAATGGATGCAATCTGGAAGTGCACATTCCATTGTAATACAAAAGAGAAAAATGTTGCCTTTAGAAAAGATAGCCAAATTAATTACTGGTCTATCTTCAGTGAAATTAAGGATGAATTTGGCCCAAGGTATTTCATTTAAGAAAACAAGTATAATTTTCAGCATTCACTGGTCTCCCAATATATTTTTTTTCTTGGTTCCATATGTGAAGATACCATTACGGAAGCTAAAAAAGTAACAAGATTTTGTGTGTGTAAATCATGTGGAGTACTATTAAGAAACTGAACACCCAATTGCCTTTAATACAGGAGGCATTTGTTTACATTTTTCTCTACTCACTCTAATCCTAAAGAAATTTAAAAATGTAATTATATTTAGAAGATACAACTGCTTTTCCACTGTTCTCTGCTTTGTTTGAAATGTTTTATATAGGATCTATGAATAAAAAAAATATTTGGAAAGCAGTGTTGGGTTTTGTCACTGGTAAGCCTTCCATAGACAGAGAACAAGTTCAATCCTAGCATATAAAAGAATCATGGTTTACAAGGACGAATGCATTTGCAATAAATCAGTGCTCAAGAATATTTTTTTTAAATGTAAGTGATTGCCATGTGCATTCTATTTGTGTCTCAATAAGGAACCTTTCTCAGCACACAAAAAGATATGATATATATATATATACACAGAGAGAATGTGATATGGTATACAAATATTGTAAAGCAACTGCTGACAAGTTACTTACTCTGCAATCAAACTTCTGGGCCTTCCATATCAGTGCCTCCAAAACTCACTTACCATTGATTTGCAAAGTGAAAAGACAATTATTTCCTTAAATTAGAGCTCATTTTAAACATTCTGAATTTTGACTTTGACTCCCTCAGGGAACTGATGGGCAGGATCCCCTGGGAGGCTAATATGAGAGGAAAAGGTGTCGAGGAGAGCTGGCTGTATTTTAAAAAAGGCTTATTGAGGACATGGAACAAACCATACCAATGTGCAGAAAGAATAGCAAATATGGCAGGCGACCAACTTGATTTAACAATGAAATCTTTGGTGAGCTTAAATACAAAAAGGAAGCTTACAAGAAGTGGAAACTTGGACTGATGACTAGGGAGGAGTATAAAAATATTGCTAGAGCATGCAGGGGTGTAATCAGGAAGGCCAAAGTACAATTGGAGCTGCAGGTAGGAAGGGATATGAAGGGTAACAAGAAGGGTTTTTGTAGGTATGTTAGCAACAAGAAGGTGGTCAGGGAAAGTGTAGGACCTTTACTGAATGCAACCTAGTGACAGATGATGTGGAAAAAGCTGAAGTACTCGATGCTTTTTTTGCCTCTGTCTTCACAGACAAGGTCAGCTCCCAGAATGCTGTACTGGGCAGCACAGTATGGGGAGGAGGTGAGCAGCCCTCAGTGGTGAAAGAACAGGTTACTAACTATTTAGAAAACCTGGACATGCACAAGTCCCTGGGGCCAGATGCAATACATCCAAGAGTGCTGAGGGAGTTGGCTGATGTGATTGCAAAGCTATTAGCCATTATCTTTCAAAACTTGTGGCAACTGGGGGAGGTCCTGGACGATTGGAAAAAGGCAAATACAGTGCCCATCTTTAAAAATGGGATGTGATATACCTTGTCTTTAGAAAAGCTTTTGACATGCTCTACCACAGTATTCTTGCCAGCAAGTTAAAGAAGTATGGATTGGATGAATGGACTATAAGGTGGACAGAAAGCTGGCTAGATCGTTTGGCTCAATAAGTAGTGATCAACAGTTCGATGTCTAGTTGGCAGCTGGTATCAAGTGGAGTGCCCCAGGGGTTGGTCCTGGGGCTGGTTTCTTTCAACATCTTCATTAATGATCTGGGTGATGGGATGGATTGCACCCTCAGCAAGTTCACGGATGACACTAAGCTGGAGGGAGAGGTAGATACGCTGGAGGGTAGGGATAGGGTCTAGAGGGACCTAGACAAATTGGAGGATTGTGCCAAAGGAAATCTGATGAGGTTCAACAAGGACAAGTGCAGAGTCCTGCACTTAGGATGGAAGAATCCCATGCACCGCTACAGGGTAGGGACCGACGGGCTAAGCGGCAGTTTTGCAGAAAAGGACCTGAGGATTACAGTGGACAAGAAGCTAGATATGAGTCAACAGTGTGCCCTTGTTGCCAAGAAGGCT